GAGTAATGGTTTGGGAGAGGGGGAGCGGGCTGTGGACAGGAAGTAGTGGTTTGGGAGAGGTGGAGGGGGCTGTGGATAGGGAGTAGGGGTTTGGGAGAGGGGGAGGGGTCTGTGGATAGGTAAAGAGTAGAGACTAGAGGTTTGGGAGAGGGGGGGCGGGCTGTGGATAGGGAGGAGTGGTTTGGGAGAGGGGGAGCAGGCTGTGGATAGGGAGTAGTGGGTTGGGGGAGGGGGGGGGGGCTGTGGATAGGTAAAGAGTAGAGAGTAAAGGTTTGGGAGAGGGGGAGGGGTCTGTGGATAGGTAAAGAGTAGTGAGTAGGGGGTTGGGAGAGGGGGGGGGGGCTGTGGATAGGGAGTGGTGGTTTGGGAGAGGGGGAGCAGGCTGGGGATAGGGAGTAGTGGTTGGGGAGAGGGGGAGGAGGCTGTGGGTGGGTAAAGAGTAGGGAGTAGTGGTTCGGGAGAGGGGGAGGGGGCGGTGGATAGGGAGTAGTGGTTTTGGAGAGGGGGAGCGGAATGTGGAGAGGGAGTAGTGGTTTGGGAGCGGGGGAGGGGGCTGTGGATAGGGAGTGGTGGTTTGGGAGAGGGGGAGGGGTCTGTGGATAGGTAAAGAGTAGAGAGTAGAGGTTTTGGAGAGGGGGAGCAGGCTGGGGATAGGGAGTAGTGGTTGGGGAGAGGGGGAGGAGGCTGTGGGTGGGTAAAGAGTAGGGAGTAGTGGTTCGGGAGAGGGGGAGGGGGCGGTGGATAGGGAGTAGTGGTTTTGGAGAGGGGGAGCGGAATGTGGATAGGGAGTAGTGGTTTTGGAGAGGGGGAGCGGAATGTGGATAGGGAGTAGTGGGTTGGGAGAGGGGGAGGGGGGTGTGGATAGGGAGTAGTGGGTTGGGGGGGGGGGGGGGGGGTGGGGATAGGGAGTAGTGGTTGGGGAGAGGGGGAGGAGGCTGTGGGTGGGTAAAGAGTAGGGAGTAGTGGGTTGGGGGAGGGGGGGGGGGCTGTGGATAGGGAGTGGTGGTTTGGGAGAGGGGGAGCTCGAGGGGGCTGTGGATAGGTAAAGAGTAGAGAGTAAAGGTTTGGGAGAGGGGGAGCAGGCTGGGGATAGGGAGTAGTGGTTTTGGAGAGGGGGAGGGGGCTGTGGATAGGGAAAGAGTAGGGAGTAGTGGTTCGGGAGAGGGGGAGGGGGCTGTGGGTTTAGAGCAATGGGTGTGGAAAGGTTGATGTTGAGGGGGGATAGAAGAGATAGATCTAGCATCTGTCTTTAAGCCTCTTTGCTATGTACCTGCAGAGATAAAAGAGGCTCTGACAGTTGACTGTTTGGGGACAGGTGTGTAATTAGGGGCTAGTGAAGCATTAGGGACATTTGTAGCTTCTTTATCCTTAATCCCTAGCTTGTAATCGAATAAAAATTACCACCGAGACTAAATATCAAAGCTGTGATAAATGACAGTGGTAGAAAGGTGACAGACTTGCCGATTCCCTGATGGATTTTCTCTGTTAGAAACAGGAGTTTGTTTTACTGTACATAGGTGTAAATGTTGTGGACAACCACCTGTAGCCCAGCTAGTCTGTAACATCTCCAAATCAGACTACAAATAACTGGATGTGTGAGTTAGGGTTCCACAGGGTCGGACACCTGTGACAAACCATATGGTGTTCAACAGACGTTTAAAATAGATGTGGTACAGGTAACATCAGGGTCAATAACATTGTAATGTTACCTAATCAAGTTAGTCAGGATTAAAAGTAAGAAATTATAGATAAATTTAGGAGTGCAAATAGTGTATGTAATTTCTATTGTTGTCTCTATGGTAACAACATGTAGCCGTAACCTAATATACAGGTTGTTTAGGATGTGTTAATCTGGGTAAATCAAATTAAGGGCTAGTACATGGTCAGGACTCCCATGGGTCTGGTGACATATGGAACAGGTGTGATGAAAGGCTTAGGCCCCATCAAGGTGTTATATTGTAAGGCCAAAGGGGAAAAAATAGTGTTTCCGGTAACCCTACCTACCCTAAGTTTTTGTGCCTACTCTTAATTTTTGAACGCAATTTTCAAAGAAGCACTGTTAAAGTTGAGATCACTCTCCTATATAAACCATATAAAGTTATTTGTTAAAATAAAATGTGTTACTTACCTTCTTAACCTAAATTTGTCCAACATATATTACAGGAAACACATACATTTGTTTGTCTGGCCTAAGCAGAGGAGGGACCTTTTGTCTTGCAATCGAGTTAAATGCAATATCAAGAATCGATTTCTGAAAAATGTTAATTTTTGCTTGTTCAGAAATTAAATGCTTTTTAATATTTGTACCTTCTGAATTTTTGTAAAATGTTTGTACAAAAAAAATTGGTCAGAAATTAAATGATTTGACAATATTTTTACCTTCTTTATTTTGTAAAAGCTTTGTAAAAATTTGTCTTCTTCAGAAATGTTATGTTCTGCAATATTTTTACCTGCTTTAGTTTTTAAAATCTTTGTAAAAATTTGTGTTGTTCAGAAATTTAATGATTTGACAATATTTCTACCTTCTTAATTTTGTAAAACATTTGTAAAAATAAATTCAAATGACAACTGTTACATGTAAATATATTTATATTTATTTTCCGTTGTAAAAGGTCTTATAAATATCCTTGTGCATAGTATGAAAGGATCTTTGAAAAGAGCACCAGCACATACATAAGTAATTTATTGGGAATAATACGTCAGATCACAGAAAATGTCTCACCCATACAAACATGGTGTATATGTATATACTTATGACAGAACCAACTGGAGAAAATGATATCGAAAAAACTAGGATAGAAGACGGATAATCTGTCATATGTAGACATTAATGGTTCAGTAGCCATGCAAGGCAAAATGAACAATAACGGTACATGTCAATCTCATCGCTAATCTTGTCGCGGAAAAACGGCCCGTAAGAATTAGACAGGTAAACAGGGATAGATAATGAGAATTTATGAGAGTAACGCACCTGTTGAAAGGAATAAGCTGTTCAGCTATCAGTGACAACGATGTTGATATGTTATTGTTGTAACTCCCGTTACATCTGTATGATATAAATGGTTTTTGTTTTTTTATTTGCTCAGGAAAGTATTCCTAATAGGTCTTCCTTCATTGCATTTTAAATGATCACTTTTTGTTTGTTTCTTGTTTTGTAAAAAGATGTCAAATGTGGATTTTTTTATTGAAAAATGAACCATGTTCATTTATTGTATAGATGTATCTGTGATTTAGAAGGAAGTAAACGAATTGAATAAATGAAAGAATCACTGCATTGTATTTTATAACTAAAACTGCTCCTACAGTTACACGCTGTAAGACGGGTTTACTGATATCGGTAGAGTATATCATATTAAGAAGAAATTTTCTTAATCAATTTAATGGGTCCAGATTCAATTAAGTTGAGAACATTTGGCCCTGTAATTGGAAGAAATAGGGAAATCCAACGATACTCAAAATGTTTTCGTTTTGAAACATCGCATACATCTGGAAGCTTTCCTCAGGAGTAGAATATGATAGCTATAGGTCTATTGGTTTTTTGGACCCAAGAGGGGCTAGGAAAGTTTGTTGGACAAGTTTTCGAATGATGATTTCAACTAAACAGGGGTAGAAATGAATTTTAAAAACCAGACAATCGGGCTAGTAGTTAACAATTTCACTAAACCATGTACAAGTTCCACTAACCCAATATTATTCAACATGATAAGTAATATCAAATTTTCTTTAGAAAATCAGGCAAGCAGTATTTAAACCACTATTCCCGCTGGAGATTACGCTAGTCTCGGACTCTCAAGCTACACCTATTGTCTAGCCCTGCTAAGGGCAGTAAAAGGCTGTGAATCTTTATCTTTCATTAGATAAATATAACTTTCCGAATTCATTTACTTATTAATACTTTATGACAAATGTTCATTTGGCTCATTTCAACCAGATATACATGATGCCTGGTCCTTCGGTGAATTAAAATCCTCGCAAATAGCTTCAATTGTTTTGTGCACAAATACATTTTTATGATAAATTGGTAATTTGCTGTAAAAAATATAAGATCTTTATTGTTATAAACTTTTTTTTTTTTCATTTCCTCATAAAGAAAATATGTTTACATATTGTTTAGATATGTAGTGTTAAAAAGGTCGAGGTGTAACATGATAAAAGGGAACAAAAATGATGTCTTTATGTATTATTTGATAAGAGAAATACACAATAGATATACATGCTTTGCCTTTGGCATTTATCTAGTGTACAGCCCTCAACACACAGGTATAACACAGGATTCTGAAAATAGTGTAACCTTTATGAAAGTCCTCTGTATTTTTGTGATTTTGAACCAGTATTGTCATTATAAATGAGACCTCATATTTTGCTGATGCAGTCATGTCATATACAGCTTGTTGGTGTTTTACAACCCTTTACCTAGATACATACGTTAACAGCAAGATGTATGGCTGACATCAATGTTTAAGGTGGTAACTTTTTATAAATTTGATGAATGCAACTGTTAAATCCTAATCGGTATGCAGTTTACATATCACACATCAATCAGAAGTGGTAATTATATACCAGTTTTATTGCAGATTTACTTATCACCTTATAAATAAATCAATACAACTTGAATTTAAATGATATGCTTAGCCTATCACGCCCAAGTGAAAATGATCACTAGATCATCATGTCGTGTCACAAACAATAGATCTTTGTCCTGTTTGTGCATTCATTTATATTGTTTAATGAGATAGCTTCATGTAAGCTTTAGTTAAACTGTCAGGTTATTATTACCTGTTTCACTGGATTAGAAATTGATGAGTCAAGTAGGGATTTCCAGGTGAAAACAGAAATGAAAAAAACCTTATTCAATAATTACAAGATAATCATGTCATGAAAATAAAATGAAACAAAATTCAGAAACCGATTATGTGACATAAAAGATTTTGAAATTTAATTATAAACACAAACAGAAATCAAACTATCAACAGAAATAAAACTTTTTTTTTCTTTTTCAGGTTGGTAAACAGAACAGTGACGACTTGCCGACACTCTTAACCAAAGAGCAACTGGCATCAAAACAGTCCCCGCCACCCTCGTCCTCTCCGAGTAGCCCAGTGTCCCCTGTACAGCTTTCTCCTCCTAGCCACGCCCACACAACTAAGGGTCACAGCCACACACCAACAGGTCACACAGCAATAGGCCAACCACCAGTAGGCCACACCCACTCGACAACAGGCCATACCTCTCCGACAACGGGTCATTCTCATCCGACAACAGGCCACACCCAACAGACAACAGGCTACAACCATCCGACAACTGGTAACTCTAATCCAACTACAGGCCACACCCACCCAACAACAGGCCACACCCACCCGACAACAGGCCACACCCACCTAACAACAGGCCACACTCACTCGACAACAGGCCACACTCACTCGACAACAGGCCTAACCCACCCGACAGCAGGCTACAACCATCCGACAAGTCAGTCTCATTCAACAGGGGGCCATACCCACAAGAAACCAGATCCCATACCTGTTACAGGCCACACCCCTCAAACACCTAATCCAGCACCTGTGTCATCTGTCACTCCTGCAGGTAAGTCAAAGAAATCATATCTAATCTTAAAAATGCAATTAAAATATGGTGATTTTGTCTGTTTATATTCATCTCATTCAGTATTTTATGGTACTGGGGCTTTTTGAAAGACAAAGTCCCCTAGCAATGAAACTAAGGACAGAAATAGGAAACTGTGAAAATGTAACAACAGAAATAGATGGTCCTATATGGATGATGATGGTTAGTTCCTAGACATAACTTTGCCCTACCAATCCCAAAGAACTGCACCAATTTGTAAAGTTTTTGTTTTGATAATGATATTTCTACTTCCTTTCCACAAAGCATTAGGATTTTCTGAAAATATTGCATACAAAAAGTATGGGAAAATAAATTGATCTTTGCAATGATTTGGGAAAATAAATTGATCTTTGCAATGATTTTGGGAAAATAAAGTAGAAATTTTCTAAGGGAAGGAGCATTGATAAGGCCCCAAATCCACCCTAAAAATCTAAATGTTGTTAAGTTAAATTCAAGCAATTAGATACATATATATATAAATAATATTCAACTCAAAGTAGAATTTTTGTCTATTCAGCCAAATTAGAATGACCTTGTGTGATGTTCTTAGACAAGGGTACTCTAGGGTACAAGTATTACAGTTCTCTAGTATAACATAACAGTATATTGTAGTCTAGGGTACAAGTATTACAGTTCTCTAGTACAACATGACAGTATATTGTAGTCTAGGGTACAAGTATTACAGTTCTCTAGTATAACATAACAGTATATTGTAGTCTAGGGTACAAGTAGTACAGTTCTCTAGTACAACATAACAGTATATTGTACTCTAGGGTACAAGTATTGCAGTTCTCTAGTACAACATAACAGTATATTGTACTCTAGGGTACAAGTATTACAGTACTCTAGTACAACATAACAGTATATCGTTTGTGTTATCTGTAGTGAACACCGAGATATCTTACATCCTGCTAAAAACAAAAATTAATGCATTAGTGGCATTATCACATTCTCTCACTTCCAGTCATCTTAACGGGGTCCTTAATATAAACATCCCTTGTCCACATCAACTGAATGTTTTAAAGATGTACAAAATGTAGATAAACATCACATAAAGGCCATTGGAATAAACTCACAGTATAATGGTAAACAAATTCATGCGTAATCAAATAGGAACTTAAGAAAAGCAAGTTTATGCAACGAAAGATTTATCCAAGAAACTGCATGTACAACAAATTTGTTTACAAGACATAAAAGATAAGACAGAAGAAATTTATGATGATGTAAAAATTGGTAAAGGAAATATGATGAAAAATTTGTCAAGGAAATAAATAGCCATTTCTGTGTGTGCTGAAAATTTGTTGGCAGATATCTAGACAATTAGCGAGCCCGCAGGGACACAAAGGTACGGTGCTCAGGGGGACCCCATACATGTGTCTCCCAAAGCAAATTACGGGAATGAACAAATTTCTTCAAATGAGCCAGCTATGATGTTTTTACATGTTAGATAACGGAGTTGACTTTAGGATGAAAGTATTCGGATTCTCATCACCACAGTCTTGCTAATCAAATCAATCAAAATTTGGCACAGATTAAAAACCAGAGATGTTTGGAAGAACAACTAATTTGGCATTATGATAGCATCAGACACCAGCGTCCGTCATTGACGAAGATTTAGGTACTATTAACTTATACACAGTCTTCTGACAAAGACGCTCTAACATGAGATACAGTTAACCCAGCATTATGTATGTTATGTATATGGCAACGATATGACATCAAAGACTATTATTGTGGTAGCTAGAGGGGCGTGTTTAGGGTGGAGGGAACCAGTGACTTTCTGATAGTGGTAGCTTGAGGGGGGTGTTTAGGGTGGAGGGAACCAGTGAGTTTCTGATAGTGGTAGCTTGAGGGGGGTGTTTAGGGTGGAGGGAACCAGTGAGTTTCTGATAGTGGTAGCTTGAGGGGGGTGTTTAGGGTGGAGGGAACCAGTGAGTTTCTGATAGTGGTAGCTTGAGGGGGGTGTTTAGGGTGGAGGGAACCAGTGAGTTTCTGATAGTGGTAGCTTGAGGGGGGTGTTTAGGGTGGAGGGAACCAGTGAGTTTCTGATAGTGGTAGCTTGAGGGGGGTGTTTAGGGTGGAGGGAACCAGTGAGTTTCTGATAGTGGTAGCTTGAGGGGGGTGTTTAGGGTGGAGGGAACCAGTGAGTTTCTGATAGTGGTAGCTTGAGGGGGGTGTTTAGGGTGGAGGGAACCAGTGAGTTTCTGATAGTGGTAGCTTGAGGGGGGTGTTTAGGGTGGAGGGAACCAGTGAGTTTCTGATAGTGGTAGCTTGAGGGGGGTGTTTAGGGTGGAGGGAACCAGTGAGTTTCTGATAGTGGTAGCTTGAGGGGGGTGTTTAGGGTGGAGGGAACCAGTGAGTTTCTGATAGTGGTAGCTTGAGGGGGGTGTTTAGGGTGGAGGGAACCAGTGAGTTTCTGATAGTGGTAGCTTGAGGGGGGTGTTTAGGGTGGAGGGAACCAGTGAGTTTCTGATAGTGGTAGCTTGAGGGGGGTGTTTAGGGTGGAGGGAACCAGTGAGTTTCTGATAGTGGTAGCTTGAGGGGGGTGTTTAGGGTGGAGGGAACCAGTGAGTTTCTGATAGTGGTAGCTTGAGGGGGGTGTTTAGGGTGGAGGGAACCAGTGAGTTTCTGATAGTGGTAGCTTGAGGGGGGTGTTTAGGGTGGANGGGGGGGGCGTCTAGGCAAGAAACCATTGAGTTTATGATGTGGTAGCGGGGAGAAGCTATTTAGGGTGTAATGGTGAACCTATGGTAAGCTAGACTCAAACAGTTGTGCTGATATTCTTTGGTAATATCAAATTGAAACAATTCATCAGATGACCCAGAAAATTTGCAAATGATGTGAGAAACAACACGCTATCAAGACAAGTCTCGATCTTAAAATTCCACCATCTTAACTCTTTTGTGTCCATTATTGTAGAATAATATAAAATAGAAGTCTATGACATCATTTCACTTTCATTTTATGATGTCAGAATAGATGATCTATCACAAGTCCATACCATAGACATATATATGACATTGGTGTAATTACTAAATAAAAGGATATTCGTGTGATAAATTTAGATATAGACAGGAACCGTATTTAATTTGTGATGTGTGTAACATAATAGTTTTCTACGCACAAATTTATAATTTGTTTATATTGTTAAATCATTATGAGTATATGATGAACTCTTTTTTGTCTGGAGGTGAAATTCAATTTAGCTTATGAGTTTCCTTAAACATTAAGTCTAGCAGGTGCTGCCTCATAGACCATATATCTTGATTAGGACTTAAACATGAATAAGGGTTCAAAGTCAGAATAAATGCTCGTGTTTAAAATATCGGAAGAGCTTCAGGTTGTAGAAAGCGGAAATTTTATCTTCCGCACACACCATGTTCCTAGCAGGTCTAAAATAAAATTCACCATCTTATATTCACAAATATTCTCATTAAAAAATGAATTCTTGCCAAAGAAATTGTGAGAGAGGGAAAATATAAAAACAATATTGATATAAGCATTTACATACAACTTAATGTGATCATGTAAGGGGGTAGCAGGAGTATTATCAGACAACAAAATCTCATAATCTCCCGTGAAATCCCGTGTGGATTTGTGATGCCGGCTCCGTTCACACCAAGCCACTTGTTTATGTGCTATCAAACACAGTTATCACACGTCTTGCGCAAGTCAATCACAGTATCCCACCGCCGCTACCAAACCTCCGCAACCCAGCTCTTCATATTCATGTGCAGATTAAAAAAAATACACCAAATTGCATCACTTATCTGCCGGATCAAATTCAACCATGCCTTTGAAATCGGAACCTTCCATAAGATTTTGTATCCATATTTATTTAAATTTGTATCAGATGTTCTCTCCATCTTAAGATATTTAATTAAAATGGTATTCTAGACGTAATTTGTCAATGCTAGATGGAGGCACTGTGGGAATTAGCACTACTTTGAACAGTTGTGGGGAGACTTCCCCCTCTATCTACGTTATGTACTGTACATGTGTTTGTAATAATGTAAAACTTCCAGTCGACATTGGCCACCATTTCAGTTATCCTTCCATATTATTAACTCATCTTTCTAACTTTCTCTCACAAAAAGAAATGGTTTTATGCTGAACAGAAATAGTTTTGTGCTGAACAAACAGGCTATGTCAATTTATGTTGAAATTGGGCATGAAGTTTTTGTATTCAAGAAAACTGTGATGTCATTTCTGAGAACTTACACAGGGGGTGTACAAAATGAGGTTGTTGATAATAAGTTGATGCAAGGAAGATGTGTCAATAATATTTTGAAGAAATATATTTATTTTAACTTAAAAGATTTTTTAATTTGAAGATGATCACAGCATAGAAATATTTGAGGCACGATTTATAGAAACTATTTGAAAAACAGATTCTTACAAAAAAAAAAAATCATACAATCTTTCCACACATTTTCGTCTTTATGTAATTGTTGTGCAAAAGGAATGAATAAAATTCTTACAAATGTTTAAGGTAATTTTCCAAATTATAAATTGTGCTATTAAAATACGGAAACTCCCATAAGTGAATGAAGTCATTTCCTCTACACGTGTCTACTCGCAGAAAAATAATATTTGAAAATCTCCCACAAGAGTAGGAAGTTGAAAATGATATTCAAAAGCTGTGAGAGCAGTACATTTCCAATGTAGAACTACACTTGAGCAGAACGAGAGTTTACGGCAGTGGGTCGCCCGACTCACTTTAACTCAGAATAATTACACCGTAATATTCTATACATCCCCAGATTGAATTGGTATGGATACATTCAAGTGAGGCAAATATATTTATGTATCAGATATGGAACGACCTTGAGATGTAGGTCAAGGTTAAGTAACCTGATCTAGCTCTATCACAGAAGTGAACAAGTCGTGGTACAGGCTGCACAAGCCCTGATTAAGTACTAAAACATGATAGGTGAAAACTGGGATGGAAGAAAAAAGGA